CGGTTACCTGACTGAGCAGCTGTGTGGGGTGTTCAGTGGGAGGTACCAGGAGATGAGGAGACAGAGGATAAGAGTGACGCTAGAGTCACGGAAACTGCCGGTCCTGGCTCTGAATGAGGTCTTTGTCGGGGAGAAGGACATCTCACAGTAAGTGAGGGGCACTTTATTGAGACAAATGGTGACATACATATATAGGTATATAGCAAGCAAAGGAAAATCAGATACACCTTTGATCTCAGTCCATGCTTTGACCCAACCAAATGAGTATGCTATAGTGGTATGTTGGTGAAGAAACACCAACCATATATATAGCAAGAGCGGCAAAACAGTTGCAGTTTGTGGATTGTCTGCAAAAGTTATCTTCCTCAAACACTAAAAGTGCCACTATATTGCATGGTGGTCTCTGAAAGACGACACTGGTGTTTCCACAGCTCGTCCTACTACGAGATCTCTCATGATGGGAGTCCGAGTGAGAGACAGAAATCGTCTGGTCTATTGGTATACACCGGCTCTGGCTCCACCTCGTGGTTTGTAGTACCTTTACCGTTGTTTGATGTGCATTTGCCTTGCTCTGGTTCCACTTCGTTGTCCGTATAACACTGTCTTATAATTGCATGTTGTTTGCTAGCCTTGCTTGATGCTGGGTAAATACAATCAGTACACTATGTTTGATGTGAAGCCACAGTGGCCAACTTTCAACCTAGTGACTTGAATTGCGATGCTGAACATTAATCACGACATGGTTCTAATAAGTGCACCCTTACAGTATAGGTCAATATATACCCACCACACAACTAGGGTTCAACTGTTAATCTATTATTTTCACAGGGCATACAACATGAACAGAGTCAGCAGTGAAACAGTTCAGAAGTTGCTCCACATTGGTACGTACCTACGTATGCATACAGCGGTAGTCTGTTGATTGCAAGCTTTTTCAATGCACAGCTGGTGAAATTGCTTCTCTTCCAGCTGAGTTGTCCCAACCCCAGCTAGCACAAAATGGTGAGACACTATTGCTGCAACTTTTTGCCCAAGTCAAATGTGCATAGCATAAGCCTATGACAATGTTTCACAAGCTATCTGGTTAATGAATTATCTGTTGTACACCTACAATAGTGTCAGAAGTTTTCAACTATTCCAATGTGTTTGGAGGAGAGGAACAGACTATGGCTTTCACAGTCAGAGAACCTATCATCAGAGGTTAGCTACAACCACTTGTAGCTGTGGGGGAACTGAAGAATCAGGCCACCTGTCACTCTCTCTCGTTGACAGGTATATTTGCAGTTGGAAGAACACACGGATTTGCCAAAACGTAAGCATTCTGTAAAAATGCTCTTTAGTTGTAAATTCCTTGCAGACTATGTGCATAATCCCCAATTCTCATTCCAACTGCTGCTCCATGAAAGGCTTTGCTACATACACTTTCAAGCTCCACATGCAGAGAAAAGGTCTCATTTACCAAAACGCTGTCAATATTCTCCCTACAGTGTGAAAGTGGTGTCGAGAAGCTGGAATGCCAATCTGGTGGTGGACGGCCACTACTGCACAGATTTCCCCAACGGCTCTACGGCCCTGCTGGAGCTCCAGGACTCCGACAGTCTCAGAACCCTCACTAGCTCCTCCCCTGACTCCTCCCCTCGGCTCCACCAACACTCTCCACACAGCTAGCTACTGTAGCTCTCTCTGCTTTATTATATACATACATCACGATGTCTAGCTGTGTTTGCTGTCTTACAGGAGACATTGTTGGTTGATTAGTGTTGCGTTCATTGGTGTTTCATATAATAAGTAGTGACTTTTGCAGTGTATATAGTTTTTTTCATGTTGTTATAATCTAGCTGTCAAGAATTTTTAAGCCAATGGCGCATTGATTGCATACACATTTTGATCTCTCATATATACACCAGTTTGTGGTTTTGATTTGTGCATTTTTGACAAACTCACTTGAAGATGGGATAGTTTTACTACATGTCATGATGCATCTCTATCAGTGCCTAGCCTACAAAATAGTGCACAAACACACACACACATAAATAATATACATACAGGGCTGGTCAAATCACGTGACTAAATGCATAGCGATCATATGCCTACACATACCGACACACACAACATACACATAGCTCGTTAAAGAAACACACACAAACACACACACACACACGAAAATATTAGTTAGGCCTAGATGGCTCGGCACTCCGTCCATAATGATATGTGGTTCTGTGTCTATGTTACACGGCTGCCAAAGTGTGAGCCACAATAATTTACAAACTGCGTGTTGTTGGGTGGTGGGGGGGACATTACTTTCTCTCAGTTTGAGTCTGTCACGATGTCTGGAAAATGAGAAGGAGAGAGGATCATGCTAGAGAGATGATATACAGTGAAAAATCTGAATTAAGAGTCACATTAGGGGGTATACCCATTAGGGAGATTTAAAGTGTCTTTTGTTCAGAGACGTCCCTTATTTTGAGGTAATTGAGTTGTCCTTTATAAGGAGGGTCCATTTTCAGGTTAACACATCAGCTTACTTTTGAATCGGCCCAACCCTTGCTGCCAAACACATCAGTCGAGTCAGAGGCAAATGGGTTCATCTCCTCCCCTCCCCCACCCCCCTTCGTCCCAAACGGGTCCTCCATGAACGGGTCGCTGGCAAACGGATCGGCGGTCGGAGTGGTAGCTGTTGGTCCACCACCCACCCCCCCTGATGTACCACCACTACCACTGAAAGGGTCCGATCCAAACAGATTGGCACCAGCACCTGAACCCCATAGAGGCTGTGGCAGAAAAAAATTTACACCTTGGCACAGACTCTTTCATCTAGCTCTGTACTTCTTAACAGCAAAAGTTAGAGGTTTATACATACACGCCCCTCTTCTAAAACAGCTATATATGTCCTCCCTGAGCTAAGCCTTGATCACTGAACGAAAAGCTTTCTGGCAGGCAAACGTGAGTGCAAAATTTCAGTTGTGCTAGTGTATTGTAGTAAAGCATTATGGTGTGTGGTGTGGTATAGGGGAAAAAACTGGCAATTCAAACCACTAGGTGTAGGCTCTGCTTTTCTCGTCATTAAAAGGATGAACACGTTCTCGCATCTAAAATTCCCCTGGCCTGATATGTATGCTGTTGTACAGTAGGATATTAGGGAATGATGCTCACAGGTGTAGCAGATGATTTGCCTGCCGTTCCCCCACTAGCAGTGCCGGCTGCAATACTATTGGCTGAGGAGGTGGCAAATGGGTCAGAAGAAAGGGTCTTGCCCGCTGAATGGATCTGTCAGTTGGGGGAGAGAGGGGATCGTTAGATAGAGGTTTAGAGAAGGAGAAAGGGAAAGAGGAGAGAGAGAGGGAGTGGAAAGAGAAGAGAGGGGGGGGTAAGAACAGAGGGGCGAAGAAGGATGAGGGCGACGGGGAAAGAAAGAGGGTAATGTTGATCTTATTATATGACCTGCAAGATTAGAGTAGTCATTATCTCACCAGTGGTAGTGTTAGTATCACCAGCAGGGCCAGAGTTTGACGAGGAGAATGGATCTGACTTGAAGATGTCATCACCAATTGACCCACCCCCTCCTCCTCCTCCTCCTCCTCCTCCCCCTCCCATTGACTGTTAGATCAACACACACACACACACAAACACTGAATCGTCACCAGATAATGTCTTACAACTCACTTCTACACCCACAGTTTTATACTTCGTATTTCCAGTAGTGCATACAATTCTTCAAAAAGGCACGCTATATATACAACAATGTTTACTCTAGCGTTAAATTCAAAGGGGTTCAAATATACTGGTTAAACATGCTAGACTAAGGACTAAGGCTTACTTTGAAGGCGTCTGCCATTCCGAATGGATCAAATGAAGAAAGACCGGCTGGCTTGAAGCCTCCAGTATCACCTGGGGGAAATGGGATTAGCAGCAAGCTCATTCACAAAAGGTCTTCCATTACAACAATGAATGGATAATATGCACAAAACAAACAAGTACTTTTGAGTTGTGGCAATCGCTACACTAATACTATATATGTAGAACAATCAATAGAACGCATCATTGGTGAGTGAACCCCTTTTGCAAAACAAAAATCATTTAAGGTGACAGAGTCATAAAATACACAATTCAAAGGGACTAGGTCACCCTACAATAACTGCTATATATGTACACGTGAGACTTATTCACTCACCTGCTAAAGAGAAGTGATCGTTGCCTGGCACAGAAAAAGCTGCAAAAGGGTCGTTTGTCTGTGAGGCCGAAGAAGAGCCTCCGCTGGACCCAGCGAATGGGTCACTGCGAGGAGTTCTGTCCTCTTTGCCCCCTCCTCCTCCTCCTCCTCCTCCTCCCATCCCTCCCTCCTCCCCTGCCTCTTCCAGGTGGGAATTGGTACTGAAGCCACTGATACTGCTCACCGGACTACTAGACCCAGCCTGTATATATCACATAGCAACTTCAGTAGCCAATACAGACAGAGAGATTTCGCAATTACACATTCAGTGACTGAAATAGTGGTGGACTGAATATTGAACAGTGGTGAATCCAAAGAGCTAACTCTAATATATTATAGGGCATCAGGCGAAGGAGGGTTTCGAGCAAGTCACCAGTTACAGGGCTGGGAAGTACATAAGGTTCCTAAAAACCAAACTCTGCAATAGTCAGCCCAGTTATGGCACTCATGAATAGTTAATAAGGTTCAAAACCCACTCAAAGATAACCAATCTGCCACTTTGAATGTTATCGCTATTGGGCATTGATGTAACTCCGAGTTATCAAAACAAAAAGTTTAGCGAGCAAGTAGGAGGACTTACGGTGGCTATGGCACTGACTGCATCGGGTTCGTTGATGTGCGGGACGTGTAGTTCGACGGGCAGCTGGCCGACGTCGTTGATATTGATGACGGACGAGGAGGGGGTGGAGCCAGGGGTGGAGCCTGCCGCACTGTACATGTTCACCTGCTGGTTCAGGTGAAGGTGCTCCTCCTTCAGTCTGTCTACCTTGTGGCGAGCCTGGGAAATGTATTACGTAGTACATATACTCCATTCGTGCTCTCTAATGCACTGAGTGTTTAGCCAAGACTGACTTCTCTTGTGCCTCGTGTCAAGAATATGAAAAGTGGCTGGTTTTGTCAAGACTATTGAAGTGTTTTTTTTCTCCAACATAATAATAGAAATGCAATGCATTTTTGGCGAGCCAAGCAACCAGTTAAATTTTTTATTTTTTAGTGATGTTTAGAATCGCGTAGAACATTACGGTATATGCAGTGCCCGGTGCCCGTCATAATATAGAAAAATCCCGCATTCAGACGACTAGGTAGGCTCGCTTTGCCCGCCAATTATACAGGTTTGGGCACCCACTTGACTGAACTGATGCCTCCATGGTACAATTCTTAGGAAGGACTATGGAAAATAGGGTGCTCTATTCAGCAAGCGAGTGGGGGGGAGGACAGGCCAGCCAAACACCATACAAAGAGAAAAACAGAGGAGGGAGGGGAGTAAGGAGAAAAAGAGGGGAGGAAGTAGGGGACGGAGAGGGAGAAACATTGCAAAGCCAGAGAGAGAGAGAGAGAGAGAGAGAGAGGAAGGGGAGGGAAATAGGGAGGGAGAGACATACCTCTTTGATTTCAGAATGTCTGGTCTGATTAGCTTTTTGAAGCTTCTCAAGCTCTGCCTTCCCTGCCTCCACCTAACACACAACACACCATGAAACACTAGCCAACTGTTGCGGCTCCTCACCCTCTGCTTGTAATCTCTCTCCTCTTTCTTCAGGTTCTCCAGTTGGACTTTGAGTCCCTCCAGCTCCTCACCCTGGGCCCTCTTGCTGGTCTCTTGCTGGGAGAGCTGCACCTTCAACCGCTCAATCTGTCGTAGTTCAGTAATGGTCGTGCATCATTTTACGTACATGTGCACTGTATGATATTATAGCACACTGGCCATAAAGTATACGAGAAGAAAGAACGACCACCACAACATGGCTGGTAGTCTCATGGTATATGTATGATTGTCTATAGGACAATCAGTGTGCTATTCCATGCTGATGTGCAAGTATGTATTTTGCATGCCAATGCAATAAAGTTACATGCCTCATGAAAAACAATCCACATGCATTTTAGCGATAAGAGATTGACTTGTGCAAAACACCAACACATTGTTATAGGCCAAGGGACCATAAAAGACGCAACTATGGATGGTTTAATGCGTATCGATGACCGCCAACCTGTGGTCAAAAAAGTGTTGGCATTTGGCCGGTGAGGTACACAGTCTAAAAGCATATGTTATGTCCCAACAGTTGAGGCATCGCCAAATGCAGAGTTTGTGCAGAGAAATTTGTTCACAGTATACTCAAGCACACTTCTGACCATAGAACATTGTATGTGCACACACGGAAGAGAGCTACGATGGCAAACATACATTGTAGGTTGACACATACCTCCTCTTGCTCATCTCTACATTTCTGTTTCGTCTCGGCTATCTGGCTCTCTGTCTGGGCTCTCTGCAAGAATTAAACCACAGTCACATTAGTAATTGGACTTGACAGTTATGCAGAAGTAGTGGGATACTTAGTACTGGAGAGAGGAGGGAAGACTATAAACTACTCTAAACGGCAATCACCTCCCTCCTCCTCCTTATCTCTTCACAAGGGCAGACACAAACCCACGCCCAGGCTTCCTCACTATCAAATTCTCTCACTGTCCCAGCTGCTTCTCATTTCTCCCCCTCCTCCCCCTCCTCCCCCTCACCTGTGTGTCAAGTTGGTCCAGTTTGGCCAGGTACTGGCCCTTCTCTCTCTCCAGTTCCTCCCTCTGCTTCATGGAGGTGCTGGACTCCTCCTGCAGACCCTTGATCTCTCCCTTCCTCGTCTTGATCAGCTCCTGCTTCAGTCTTATGTCCTCTTGCAGTCTCACCTTCTCACTGGGGAAAACAAGATCACATTTAAGGGCTACATTTGCTAAAGATACAAAAGGATCCAGTGGAAGATGTTTTCTAGCCCTCTGATACTGCCACATTGCTGATCCTCTTTAATAAGTGTTGCTCTCTTGGGTTCATTTAACCCCGGGCCCCCTTAATCAATTCTCACCCCCTTGGAGTTGTTTTAATGCACACATACACTGGGGTCTTTGTCCCCCCCTTTTCTTAATACAAATTTCTCCCCCGCTGATCAAATTCTAAATGCTCTGCTATGGAACAGTGCAGCAAAAAGACTCTACCGATTGCCCACTCTTGAGAAGGGGAAGTAAGGCAGACAAAAATCACGTGTCCAGGTTTTTCGTATGTGTTCTGACTGGTGGACTTTTCAGTCCTGCCAGGCACGTGGAGGCTATTTGTTGAACAGCCACACAACTCTCCTTACTTCTTGACTCCAGTGATCTCATGGGTCAGTGTGTCCAGCTCTTTTATGGCGGAGAAATCACTGCCAAATCCCGTGTCACTCTCCCCACTAGCAGGTCCCGATTCCACGCTACCAGCTGGAACGGGGGCGACGGGACCGAATGCGGACGACACGGAGAGGGGCGGGGCACTTGACGTCATGGTGGGGAGTACGGGAATGGAGGAAGAGGAGGAGGAAGAGGGGAGGAGGGAGGTAGCTGAGGGGGTCCCGGAAACGGAGGAGAGAGAGGAAGAGGAGAAGGAGGGAGGGAGAGCCTGGCCAGACGGAGCGGCAACCGATGACGTTGGGGATTTCCCCCTCAGAGAGGGCGGGATCATGTTGGGGGCCAGCTCGGTGGGGAGCTCCTTCCCGCGGACCTTCTCTGCAATGAGGTGCATTGCCAGGGCAAACTGCTCTACATTCAGCCTGCCTCTCTTCTGTGAATCACACAGGTTCCTGGAAAGACAGAGACAAAAAAGAGAAAGACGGAACTTGACATGGCAAGAAGTAATCTTTTACTTATCTCGCAGACAGTGCAGCTTTCTGCCCAGCCGGCCGGCACGCACTACTCACCAGACGTGGGCGAGGACGTTTGACGATAGGTTTGAGGCCATGAACAGCCCCCTGGCCTCGTCCCCAGACACCAGTCCATCTTTGTCCTTGTCTATCCCCTCGAAATACTTGTCGTACTTTGCCTTAGTCTCCGCTGTCACAACCCACTCCTGGCGGAACAGACACATCACGTTATACAGCCAGGAACAACCGTAAATTGGTTAAATTACTGGCTGGAAGCACCAGTACATGTACACACTCCCCAAGAAAGTCTGACGTACTGGCAAAAACATCGGCCAAAAGCACACAGGAATAATAAAGTGCCTGAAGTGTATGGAAAAGTAAATCTCTGAAAAGCAAAAACCAACATAATATAGCAAGCAACTGCCTTCCCCGCATCCAATATGTGCCCATTTGCTGGAAGATGTATGTAGTTGGGAGAGTACACAATCCCAATGTCCCTAGTTGGGAGGTTTCAACATACATATATAGTTTCTAGTTGGGAAATTTCAACATAGTAAATTCACCAGTTCCCTAGTTAGGGGCTTGGTGAGTGTGATATGATTGCACACCTGTTTTCTGGTGAGTGTAGGGGAAGAGGAGGAAGAGGTGGGAGGGACGGGAGACGGAGAAGGAGAAGGGTGAATTCCAGTCCCCAGAGACATCATCCCCCCTACTCCAGTTACCCCTACCCCTACCCCAGCTACTCCAGTCCCTACCCCGACCCCGGTTCTCTTGGAGAGTGGGATGATGGACGCGGGGAGAGAGGGAGGGAGAAGCTCACCGGCCTGACACAGTTGGATGAGTCTCATTGCCTGCATACAGAGTAACTGAGTAAATTGCACATGTACACTGCACTGTCACCATACAAACAGGAACCTGGGGTACTGTTGATATGATAGACCACCAAATTGGTTTCACTGTGGGCTAATGCATGGATTATGTTTGTAAGTCTCAGTTGGTAAAATTCACAAAAACCAGATGTGCATCGTCACATACAGCAGTGTGTATGCCATCCATCAACATTCCAAGAGCTACAATCAGAACCTTACAGATCCATGAAAGCAGACTTTGCACTACGCTACATGGTGATGCTGTTGACACAGACCTCGGCCTAGAAGACAAGTCCTACATATTGTGAGCAGAGAGTGCATCCCAGAGTGTATTAAAATGTATGTACAAAAATCACAATTAACAACCTTACTGCACAAACCCGGTGAGGGAAGCCGTACAGCTAATATAGTCATCAAAATTGTGCAACGTTATGTAAGAGAGAGGGAGGAGGGAGGGAGCTGACCACGGCAAACTCCTCAGAGTCCAGCTGTCCGTCTCTGTCAAGGTCGGAGAGGTTCCAGATCTTCCCGAGAGCGTCCACCGGGAGTTTGGAGGCCATCATGACCGGCCTTGCCTTCTCTCCCGACAGCTTCCCTCCTACTGGGTTCATACCCTGTGGAGAGGACATGGCAAACACTCTGTATGTATATACTGTATTTATATAGCTCCTACACTATTATTGCACATAAAACGTAGGAAAAATTAGAGAGAGCATTGGGTAAATTTTCATTACCTGAAACATTTTGTCATATCTCAGCTTGTCTTCAGGCTGTGGGTAAAGAAGAGAAGTAGGGTAGTAGCTGGAACTTGAAACAAAATTGTTAACGGGATAAGTAATCGGTGCAAAAAAGACTTGGACACAACTGTACCAGCACACTTTGTAGTAAAATAATTATGTTTGATCCTCAAATGTACAGTGTAAGAGATTCTTAGATTCTTAGTCATGTAGAATAATTATGTAGTATGAACGAATGTAGTGTAACAAATTACTGTGGTCTACGAACACGTCCCCTCCTATAGCATGCTAATGAACAATGCTTTCAGACAGGGAGACGCGCGGTCAGACGCAGCATTCCTCGCATTCCAGACCCAGTTAGTCATACTGTATATACAGTAATATATACAACCCAGAAAGTAAAGTCCCAAGCCTGCATGAAAAATGTTTGATCATTATAGTATAATAATAGCCAAAGACATGTATTCTTAGAATCGAAATCGCTATATTCACGTACCTAAACAGTGATACTGCACAGCCTCACATGTCCACAATTTATACTAGAGGTTTTATTTCGCATGCTCATGTGCTAAAATCAACTAACAGATGTGTGTGTGTGTGTGTACGCCAAAAGCTACTGACATTGGAACAGTGGTGTCAGCACACTCAACATTTGACACATGATCAATTGAATAATGCCACAGTATATACATTTAGGTAAAAGAGTGTTTCGGAGCTACAAGTTGTCGGCCTTGTAGTAGTAAGCCCAACGGCTGAAAGGCTCCCTTGAAGTTTACCCAGTTCTTTAGTATAGAGAATCCAGCCATTGTGCTAGGGAAACTGTAGGCTTGCTCGCGGCTGGTATACGTATACAAAGCATGCAACAGGAACCCAGGCACTAGGGGTACAAGGGGCAAGGGCTCAGCCTCTTGACGGCATACAAACAATACAGAGGGGTGACCTATCGCGATACAGTCTTCAATAGGAGAACAAAAAACCAGAGCCACTGTATATACACAGAAGCCGAGCAAGCAAGTGTATGTATGGAGTGCGTGCATGCGTGCCGCTATAATTTCCTCTGCAGAGTAAGCAATTAGTACGTGTTACAGTAACTCAGTAAGCAAGTTACTTGTGCACCACCTGCATAATATATAGATTGTTTAAGGGAGGTAATTTACCCCCTTCTTGAATACGGCCCCCTAAACTGTCCATATATATATGTAGATTAAGAGAGCGTTTTTAGCACATCTATATTATAACTGAGACACCATAGTAAGGGAGCATGGATGGGTATATAGGAAGATTGACTGTGTGTACCTCAATGGTCCATTTCTTCTGGGCAAAGCCGGCGAAGGTGGTCGAGTCGATGCCCATCAGCCGAGGGGGAGGGTCGGAGAGGGTGATCAGTGACAGGGAAGGCTCCTTGCCCAGCTGACATGCCGCCACAAGTCGCAACGCAGCGTAGAATCCCTGCAGAGAGACACACTACGGTGGTGGAGCTGTTGTGGAGCTTTATAAGGTCTTCCTCGTTAATCCAGTTGTTTCCCCACTTAGCTATGCATCACACGTGATAGAATTCAGCATCAGTTGAGCAATTTCGCATTAAATGTCCAACTGTATATGTATATGGGGTCTTTTTGAATGAACTCTAAATTACCTGTCTGTCGAGGTAGCCTCTGCCGTTTGGATCGGAAAGATCCCATATCTGCATAGAGACAATCAGAGAATGATGTCATAATTGCATCATACATATCGAAGAAAGCAACAATCGCCGTACTTAACATTTCTTCAGCGGAAAATATCACTTTCACCCCAAAAGACTTTGCATACATACGTATCTGTCCAGAAATCAACACACAAACCAAAGGCAAAATGTGCTGCAAAGGCCACAGCATTAACCAGGTTTTTACTGACCCAATGATGTGTGTGTGTTGCTGTCTTTTGAGCAAGTATACACATGGTGCACCATTTAACCATGGAAACAAGCAATTCTGCCCCTCCTCAAGGTAAAACGTACCTTCTCGGGTAACATTGTTATATAAATCCCTCCACCAAAAGCCCTTGTATGTTATACAATAGTACTATTAGTACATGTAGTAGACCTGAAGGTTCTACAGCTATATAGCAGCATCATGTATTGTAACTGGCCTTGTGAAGAACGGAGTCGCCGAGTTGAGATTTCTTCAGGAAAGCCGCGGCACTGCTTGCGTCTATCCTCCCGTTCCTCGTCACGTCCAGCGGCTGGAAATAGCCCTCGAACAACGTCCCGTGGTTCCCTGCAAGCTGGAGAACGCGGAAGGAGGAAGTGTGTCGAACCAACGGATTTGATTCTATGGTTTTGGCGGCGTTCTATTAGCTACGCGTGCTGGACTCACTTGTGTTAGTGGCGGTAGACTGGACATATCTGCGGCGGCAGGGAGCACGACTGGAGCCCGCTCAATGGCCGCTGAACGGAGAAGGGCAGAGAACCGGTGCGTCCAAGTTTAGTTAGGCAAAATGGGCGGGGCGAAAGTCACGTGGAAGTTATCCCAATTTATAAGTGCGCACGCGCAGATATTTTGCGGCCGCACGTATGATACGCTCCACTGCACTGCACTAGACATGCTTTCCTCCTAAGTGCACAACATTTCGCTAGCTGGTGCTTGGAGTGGAGGATGTCTCTCAGCATTGAAGGTTGATGGGTTTTGGATGTAGAATGGATCCGACTAAAACCCCAACATCACGGATGAAATTGGTAAGAACACCGCAGCCGCAACATATCATCCACTGCGCAACTTCTTCGTCTTTTTATCAGGTCTTGCTCCTGTTGGCTCTGGTGGCCAGTGAGGTAGCATCCAGACCTGGTGAACCACGGCAGAAATGGCGCCTCTGCGGCTTTTTGGATCTACCATTCGGACTGTCGCCAGTCGGCAACTTTGGGAGCCGGACAGTTAGACTGGATCCGAGCGGGTCGCTGCACTGCTCCTGCAGCGACGAAAATGCCGTCGTACCCGAGATAATAAAAGCCGATCTAGCGGACGGCGAAGGGAAATTCTTTACTACCCTGAATGTGACAATATACCCTTGTCTGTTGGCTCTGTGTAATCAGCGGATGACGAGCAGTGTGGACGTTTCAAACTTTACCTCTGTGGAGCTGTTTCCACCTTCGTGTGCAAAAAGTATTATTCTCCGCAAAACCGACGATGCAGGGATTGAGATTTCGGTCGGGAGTAAACTGCAAAAACTACGCTGTGAACTTCCACCTTACATTTCTCTTTCTCAAACACTTTCAAGATATCTGGCAGAGTCAGACACTGGAGTAGTGAATGTGAGGTGGCTTGTACCTCTAGACATGGGCAGTTGTGCAGGGTCACTCATGAGAAATGGACCCTTGCATGCCACTGCCCAGCTCGTATTTCGAAACTCAAATGAGAACGAACTGCCTCATTTTTCTTCCAGCTTACAAGCTCGGCACAGTATTGTCCGCCGCAGCAATAACCCACCGAGTTTCGTGTCCAGCTACTACAGTGCACAGGTGCCTGAGAATTCTCCGATCGGTACACTAGTCGCCACAGCAGAGGCCACTGATATCGACGAGGGAATCAATGAAGAGCTAATCTATACTATGGTACCCAGCACAAACCACCTCAGTGCAGAGTTCTTTCAAATACACAACACCAGTGGGCAAATAACTACTAAAGGTGAGCTAACCATGGACACTGTACACACTTGGCTCCTGATTCTATTATGTGACATCATGACTTTATTTGATTTAGGTGTTTACTGTGTTTAACTATACCCAGCAAACCTTGCATAGTATTCTCATTTCGTGTCACATTCAGTCCCTATAAGTAAACTCTACTCTGGTTAAGGTGTGTGGGGGACTTAGCAAGTGCTGAGATAAGATGCACAAATGTAGTATTGCAGTAGTAGATGATGCTATATATAAGTTGAGACCTTAGCGTGTGGGTAGTTCGGTACAGATGGAGTATAGATAGATATAGAGCGCAGCATACCAGACAACTGAATGCTTGTGGTTTGGCCATTCCGCCGTCTGGTGGTGTTGAGGGGATTTTGCCACCTGTGAAATATTGCAGAACACACGTCACATTAGGGCAGCATTCACAGTGAAAGACTGGCGTGGGTGTTACGTTAAATCACTCTGTGATGCTTGTCGTGTTGCCCTGTTGTACAAACATGGGTGATGTTTATCAATTTGATTTGCCAAAAAAGAGTTTTCCCAAATGGCTATGCTAAAACCAAAAAGAACTGCCTATAATATACATGCTTTGCAACACAAAATGGCCCACTGTGAAACCTCCATTTTGAAGTACACACTGGAAAAATAACAAAAGTCTAAGGATTGAAGCAATAGAGGGGTTGCTTTATTCTATTCACAGTGTCTATTCTAATAGGTTTCACTGATACATACAACATTAGTCCTGGATGTTTGTTTTCTGCAGCCGACATTGACCGGGAGGAGATGGCTGGACACTCTTTCCATGTGACTGCCACAGATGGCTCCGGGCTGGACTCCACGGTCATCTACTCCATCTCTGTCACTGACGAGAACGACAATGCACCCGAGTTTACGACGGGAAACTCCTACTCTCTTACCCTTGACGAAGACCGAAACTTGAACCAGGTACTTATTGAACAAAACTAAAACACTGCATACTTCAAACAGCGCACTTTGTAATTTTAGATGCACGGTAACTATAAGTAATAGCGAGCTTTGAAAAATATAAGCCTCCTCTTTATATGTATCTCTCGTGTTAACACTCTGAATTTGATGCAGATTTGTCCTAATCTTTTTGGTGCAAATTGTCCTAATATTTTTGGTGCAGATTGTCCTAATCTTTTTGGTACAGGTCTTAAGTTTTTTGGTGGTTGATCCAGACGAGGGGACAAACAGCCAAGTCACCTTCTCCCTGCAGAACAATACCGGGAACACCTTTGTCGTGATTGCCCTGCCCCCCAGCAGCTCTGGGACCTACACCAGCAGTTTGTTCCTAGCTCAACCACTAGACTACGAAACTCTGAACCTCTACCAGCTGACCATCGTGGCGATGGACGCCGGGGACCCAAGCCGCACCAGCAGTGCAACTGTCGAAGTGTCTGTGGGTGACGTGGTTGATAATCCTCCAGTGTTCACCAGCTCTGAGTTTCTGGTGAACGTTGAAGAGAGTACTCCTATTGGGACTGTTGTATTCAGACTGAATGCAACGACGCTGGACTCACCAGATATTGCCACTGTCAGCTACCATCTACAGGAAACCTCACCCCCCGGCTTTCGGTTCTACCTGGATATTAACACGGGGGCAATCTCGGTCCACAATGAGCTGGACTATGAGCAGCAGACACTCTACTCTCTGTCAGTTACGGCCCAAACTTCTCCCGATCTGGTGACACCGGTAACTGTCACAATCACCATACTCAATATAAACGATAACTCCCCCGATTTCATTCGCTCGGCCTACAGTGTAAACGTGATGGAAGGCCTGCCCGTGGGGCGCAAGGTACTAACAGTTAGAGCTACTGATGATGATGATGGACCCCCTGGGGAGATCCGCTATTTTATTGCCGGTAATAACTCTGAAATTCTCAGCAATTTCATTCTTAACTCAACGACTGGCGAAGTTTTCACACGGACTGTTCTCGACTATGAAACAAGAATAGAGTACTCGTTTGAAGTTGTAGCTCGGGACCGGGGAGACCCTGCTCGTTCCGACCATGTCGCGGTCACGATTCAAGTCGAGGATCAAAACGACGAGATCCCTGTGTTTGTATCTCTGTCTCACTACGCCACGGTTCCCGAGAACTCCGGAGACGGGGTATCGGTGGCACAAGTGGAGGCGGAGGACCCCGACGGTCCGTCGTTGGAGTACCACCTCGTGAGTACCCAACTCCGGAGTCTGTTCTCCGTCGACCTGGCCTCCGGACTAGTCACCACTCGAGAAGATCTGGACTGGGAAGAAGCAGTTACCTATACCCTCGAGGTGTCTGCCAGCGATGGCTATCACGTCAGCCTTGAGAATGCCCGAGTCTATGTAACAGTCAGCGACGTTAATGATCAAACTCCGCTGTTCCCTTCCAGTGGGTATAGAGTTGAAGTGTCAGAGTTAGAATCACTCAATGGTACAGTTGTGGTAGTTGAAGCTATTGACATTGACGAGGAGGGACCAAACAGTCAGTTGATGTACTGGTCAACCAATATCCCGCCGTATTTCACCCTCTCGCCACATTCTGGGGTGATGACTCTGGCAGAGCCCCTGGATTACGAGAACAAAGCGTATTTCAACTTTCAGGTGTGGGCCGGGGACAGTGGCTCGCCCGTTTTGTCCTCGTCTGCTGTCGTGGAGGTTACGGTACTCGATGAAAACGACAATGCTCCTCAGTTTACCTCGTCCGATCGCTCGGGAAGCGTGTATGAGAATGAACCAGCATACGTGGGTGTGTTGTACCTCATAGCAACAGACGCCGACAGTGGGTCAAACTCCCAACTGGAATACGAAATAATAGCCGACCAGAGTGCAAGAGGGTCATTCCTAGTGGATGAGATGGGTGCCGTAAAGACTAGTCGCTCGCTGGATCGCGAGGAGAGGGAATCGTACAACCTCACCATTGAGGTGAGGGACAAAGGCTCAATGCCTCTCTCGTCTACCATCGAGGTCCATATACAAGTAAAGGACAAGATAGACTACCCTCCCAGGTTTAGTTCAATCAGCTACGAGAGGGAGATAACTGTCTATACACCAGTTTCAACTCCACTACTGACAGTGTCTGCCTCAACTAGAGACGATGTAGCTCCTACGTCCATACTCTACAGCCTTCCCATCGGTGCCAACCGGACGCTGTTTCGCATCGATCGCTCCTCGGGAGTGATATCCGCCGCGACCAACATCGACCCGGTGGCTCATCGGGGAAGATACAGTTTCCACGTGGCTGCCCAGCACGATCGGTTCTCTGCAACTGCCTCGGTTCTGATTGACATCCTGCCCAACTCCAAGATCCCGTGGCTCAGGTCTCTCACGGCATACGTGACCCTTTTCACGTCGCTGCTGAGTCCTTGGACCACACTGGGTGCAGTTGCTTTGGAGAGGCCTCACGACAAACCAATCACTTACTCTCTCTCGTCGTCCGACGTGGCCGCCCATCGTTGGTTCTCAGTCAACTCTCTCACTGGCGCAATATCGCTAAGTTCTGCCGCCCGCCGCGGGCACTACCGCTTCGATATCATCGCGACCTCTGAACTCGGTGTGGGGAAAGGTGGCGTCGAGGTGTACGTTCAATCGGTGACAAACTCCACACTGGACAGTGCGGTGGTGGTAGATTTTGACGGCGGCTCAGAAATATATTTCGTGTCAGTCACACTCGAGAACTTTGCGGCGGCACTCACAGGGATCGTCCCCTGCTCCAGAGACCAGGTGGAGATTGTGGGTGTTCAGGAAGGACAAATAACAGACTCTCAGTTGTCATTGCTGTCAGAGAGAAAGGCCTCAGAAACTACATCCCGAGGGAGACCCTCCTGGATAGATTACGTGCTAATAAAGGGTCCTCTCGTCTCCAAAACGTCGTCAGTTTTGGATCCGATGCGTGTGTGAGCGAGCCGTGTCCCAACTTTCAGCGGTGTTCCCCGACAGTCCACGTCCAGCGAGTCAGTCCACTGAGAGTCTACAAAGTCCTGCAGAGCGCAGAGCAAGTCTACATCTCCCACCCCTTCTCCCCATCGTTTACCTGTCACTGTCCCCCTGGCAACGACCTCGACGAACTCTGCAGTGTTGAAACGGACCCCTGTACACCGTCACCGTGCCATTTCAACGCTCCGTGTCGCAGACTCGGCGATGACTACGTGTGCGAGTGCCCGCCACACACGGGCGGGAAAAACTGCAGCAAAGTCTGTCCTTCCTCCATCTGCCACCCGTGCAACCCCGATGTCTGTCTCCACGGGAGTCTCTGTCTGGAATCGATAGAGCGCACCACCTACTCTTGCATCTCATGTCCCTGGCCCACCGAGTACGCCGGACACGACTGTGAGCTAACGTCTGTTCATGTATCCTCTGGCGGATATGTGGTGTTCCCCAGCCTCAAATCACTCGTGAAGACAAAGATTTCTTTCCGGTTTGCAACAGTGTCACCCGACGGTGTACTCGTTTTCTCGGGCCGTGTGTCCGGGTCACATGACCTGCTCTCCGTCGATCTCGTTCAGGGTCAAGTCAGGGTCACTCTCTCCCTCGGAGACCCCGACGAACTCGTCACCATGACAACGAACTCTGTCCGGAGGTTAAACGACGGGAAGTGGCACGAGGTGTCGCTGGATTTGAGGGCCATCTGCAGGTAAGCCCCCTAGTTCGATTAGGAAATTACGCGAGAGGTGTTATGAGATTAGTGGTCCAAGGATTGGATTAGGTTGAGGCATACATGGTGTGGTTCCGTTGACCTTAGACCAGGAGCTGGCAAGTTGGCCACTCAACTGCTGTCCCCTTTTCATAGATAGCCAATAACTTACTTCACTGCCCACTCACTGCACACAGTGTCCCTATACCCACATATTATATGTACTACCAGATACGTATGTACGTACATACGTTGTATATAGATGGATGTAGATGTTTACAGTTACACAAGGAAAATGAACATGGAAATTACTGTAGTCCTTTGCCATGTTCTTGAAAGCAAAGTGAGCCCCACCTAGTCTTCTGAATTGCAATAAGTGTGCTTTATGTAAAAACTGATGCTACATTGTTAGCATAATGCACTGCTATTCTACTTTCTGTGATTGTACGTTACTCAGATGTTGACTGTGACTGTGTCAGAGTGTTCTGAAACCTCCTATACCACCACCAGTAGCCCCCTCACTGGAGTCGAGGCTGACTCTTGCGTCCTGCAAGGAAGAGTTGCCACCAGAAAAAAGTGAGTCGTGCTAGCTAGCTGACTCCCTGTGGCTTTTGCACTTTGGGCTACACAATTCAGAAGGGGTTCTATGGGATTCATTGTCCGGCTTCCACGTGGGTCAGTGATAGTTTTATTTGCAGCAGCGTGGGGCGGGGCAGTAGGATTGAGTCAATAAACTGACTATCCGACCTACAAAAACAACACACCTAACATCTTCCTCTCTTCCTCTCTCCCCT